TGGACGGGGCTCTGAGCAACCTGATCTAGTTGAAGATGTCCCTGCCCACGGCAGGAGAGTTGGACTAGATGACCTTTAGAGGTCCCTTCCAACCCAAACTATTCTATGATTCTATGATATTATTATGATTATGTAGCAATAAGAGATAAGCTTGCAATATAAATAGAAAAAGCAGGGGGTAGGAGGGGTCAAAATAGATAATTACGAGGATTTGGCTTGAGCAGTATTTTGTATACCCAATATTTCACTTTGCCTTGCCATTACTGTCAGGGTAGAGTGAACAGAGGGTGCAAAACATAAGAAAAAGGATGGAAGAACGGAAAAAAAGACTACATGCATGTAAAAGCCACAGAGAAGGAAAAAAGATTGATCAAAGGCTAGTGAAAAGAGAAGGAAAAAAGAAAGAAAAAGGAAGGCACAAACAAATGACAGAAAAAAATAGTTTATTACTGTGGATGCCACAGTTATTCTGGTCAGCCTTAGGACATGCATTTAAGTTTTTTAAAATCTAGTTGAAAAATATACCAGGTAGCGAGGCATGGTGTGTGGGGAAAGTAAATAAGACCAGTTGCTGGAGGCTGTTCTGCCCTGCACAGGGACTGCTACAGTCAGTGTTGGCACCATCCTCATCTCACTGCTTTTTTTTTGCAAGGTGGCCTTCAATGTCCCTGTCATGGATAGGACTGTGCCGGTTGCTGCACACAGGACACAAAATATTGCCTCCCGTAGTGAACTTATTGGCTGAGCAGTTAAAAACCAGTAGTTTTTATACTGCTGGCAATTACCAAGGTTAACCTCCCTTTCTCCTGCTGCCCCATCTCTCCGTGCCCCAACCTGCTGCCACGGTGTCAGCAGGGCCCAGTGTGTTATGTGTGTATCGCATTTGACTGCCCACCTTGAGCTGCCAGCCCATATCACAGGCTTGCTGGGCACTTCAGAAAGTAACTTTCTACCCCTGTGTGCAGCCACAGGATGCACAAAGAAGCAGTTCTTCTGCAAGAGGTATGTATTCAAGCCCAAAGCACTGAGTTACTTCAGATGCACATTACACAGTCAATAATTTCAGTGGGCTGGATTCTGACTTCACGGTCATGGGGTTCAACATGGGTTCGGACTGAGATCCCTGAAAGTGGGTCCACTCAGTTTCCCTACTGTAAGGCCTATCAGATTTAGCAGCTATTGGATTTTTAAGTACCAATAATTCACAGTAAGTCTTTGTTAGTATTCACCAATCTGAGTTTGCACTGGTGCATGCAGTAGAGCTTCCCTCAGGGCTAAAATAACCATAAAGAGTTGATTTGTCTATTCCACAGAATTTATCTTCATCACAAAAATATAGCAAGATTACCTGCCTTGACATAGCTTGTCTCGGTACAGGCTTCATCTTTCCAAATAGCAAGATAGATACTTGACAAGTTGTTTGGGTTTTTTTTTTCACCTGCCCTCTGGTATTGGGCTACAGCTTTCCATTATTACCTCGACCCCTTTGGTGACTGTTTCTAAACGAAATCTGGGCTTTTTTATATCAAAACTTTACCAACCTTTTCTGAAATCTTTCATGCCCCCCCACCCCATTCCCCTTGTAGTTCTCCATGGCTGACACTATATACAAGCACACATACATCTTCTGCAGTCCTTCTGCATCTCCGGCCCTCTAGCTCTGACCTACTCTTCCCTGATCTTTTTCTTCCTTTACCTTCTTCCCTTTCTCCATGTCCAGACTCATGTCCCAGTGTGAGGTCCATGCAGCTAACTCCTGTCTCACGCTTCCTTTACACTGGGTCTCTCCAATGTCTGGTGTGTGGAGCGATGTCTCCTGCTCTCTGACCTCTTGGCTGAAGCCCAAAGGGTCCTACTAAAGGACAAATCCCTCAGCTGCTGTGCTGTGTCACAGACCTCCCTGGCTTGTGTCTGGCATCCAAAGAGCGGATCCTGGAGAACATCTGATCTCTGGTCACATGGAGCAAGCCCCTGTCGGAAACCCACCTGAGGCTGAACATGCATGCTGCGGTGGGAATGGACAGGGGGAGGCTGAACTGAAGACCAAGTGTTGACGTGCAAAAATGAAAGCAGCGGCTGATGTTGATCAGGAGAAGGAAGGCTGTTAATTCAAAGCATGCCGCTCATCCATGTTGGGTGCAGATAGAAGCAATATGCTGGAGAGCCGCTACGTGCTGGGGTGGGACTTGAGGCTGAACATGCATGCTGCGGTGGGAATGGACAGGGGGAGGCTGAACTGAAGACCAAGTGTTGACGTGCAAAAATGAAAGCAGCGGCTGATGTTGATCAGGAGAAGGAAGGCTGTTAATTCAAAGCATGCCGCTCATCCATGTTGGGTGCAGATAGAAGCAATATGCTGGAGAGCCGCTACGTGCTGGGGTGGGACTCAGGGGCTGGCCGGCATGGAGCGGCTTTTTCCCGTTGCCTGGGTGGGGGGGGGCGTGTAGGGAGAACGCCCCCTTGGCACGGTGTCCAGGGGAGGGAGCTGGGAAAGGGGAGGAAGGGGATGGCTTTGCTTCACTTGCTCCACTTTAAATACCTTTGCACAGAGCTCTGGCCACTGTAGTAAGCTCAGAAGGCTTCACCTGCAGCGGCAAAGGGGCCTCCCTGCGTGGGCATTGCTGCCTCTGCAACATGGATGCACAGCACTGCAAAATGAATGGCGACCCTTTCCAGGTAAGTGATGGGGTCTGTGTGCCTGCTTTTTGTGGGGGGGCTCTGGCTGCCTCCCTCCTGCCCTCCCATGCTTGCAAATCTTGTTCCCTGCTTTCTGAGAGGCAGTGTGACCCAAGATGAGAGGAAACAACATGCCTGTCTTGATGCTTTGCGGTGCCTGGTTGCCACCGTTCTCTCTTTTGGCAGCTGGCATACTTGTCTGTTGTTAATTGTGCTCACAAAAGTGCAGTGAGAACGAAAATGAACATTGCGACAGTATCCTTGCATATATGGCAAATAGAAGAAGCAGAAAAGACCAGCAGCTAATTAGAGATCTTAAACCTGTGTGATGAAAAGAAAGTTGTCTTCTTCTGTTAAAGGAAAGCAGCTGAAGTTAACGTGCTCTTCTGCTGGAGCTATTTGCTAAATTCTGGGACTCTGACATCCCCTTTTTTTAAGGTTTACTGACTTACTTTGAACCCTTTGTTTTCAAAAATACAGGAAAGTCCTGAAGCCCATGCCTTTCGAGTACAGGCACTATAGTTACTGCAGGGGCAAGCAACATAACTTGAGGCCAGCATGGTTAATCATTAGGACCAAATTCTGCATGTATGTGTCCTATGCAATACTGCTGAAGCCAGAGACGAGCTGTGGAAGATGCAGGGGGGGGAAAAAAAAAAGGGCTTCAGTTTCTACAAGCCGTTTTAAGAGCAGAGCAGCCAAGGAAGCCTGGTTTCCTACTACTTTGTGTATGAGGCTGAACTCTCACAATAATTCTCCAGGATCTCACCTTGCTACTTTTCCAAGTTGTGTAATTGCTTGGTCCCAATGAGATCTGTGGGAGCTGAGCATCTAAATGCCTTAAGAAATCTGACTCGGAAACTAGTTCCATCTTCAGAAGTAATTTAGGAATCTTATTTCCTTTAAAATATTTTTTTTCCTGAATTTTCCCCTACTATTCTGTGTATCTAGTAAGTCTGGAATTTGCGACACAGAGGTGAAATTTTTCTCTCACTGAAACTGCAAGCCAAACTTCCCCTGGTTTTAACAGTGTTGGAATTCACTGTGAAGGGCTTTATCTAACCTGCTCAGAAATGGATTAGAAGGCTGACAGGTCTGTGTTACTCATCTGCAATACTGCCACATGTGTCAGGAAGGCAATATCAATCTCTGTGCGGAGTAGTTAACTAAAAATGCAGGTTTGCATTGCACTCAGGTAAACCCCTCCTTGCATCTACACATCACCTATCTTTGAGATTGTAGTAGGTCCAGGAATGGATGTTCATTTTGTCAACTGGTTCTTATTTTACTTCTTGAAAAAAAAAAGGAGCTGGAAGAAAATTAGAGCTTAATTTATCCCACACTACATTTATAAATCACATATACATGCCATATAGGCAATATTTCAATGACAATGAAACAATTTGTTCAATTCTTAATCATAACCACAGTAGTAACAGAACAGTAGAACTACCCCAAAGTTGCAATTCCTGTCTATATAACAGGCTGAAAAACAAGAAATTAGAATTAGAATTGAGAATGGATAAACTGTGATCAACAGTTAAAATTATGCATAGGTACTACAAAAAGCTCAGCAATAAATGTGCCTGTGTATATGTTGATGTATATTACCTCCAGTGCATATGTTGATGTATATTGTCTCCAGTGTGTATTGATATATATTGCCTCCATATATATTGATAAGAACTGGGTACAGGAAAACAATCATGTTACTCTTCTTTCCCCTTGCAACGAAAGCTGTCATCTCTGTGGACAGACTCGGGCATGAGTTAACGTTTGTACAAAGATCTTCCAGTGAACTGAGTGCATATGCAGATGTGCAAGAAGTTAAGCAAATATCACTCTCTTTGCAGGATTAGTGCCTACTCCCTACTGCAATGTGTCTTACTTTTAAGTACCAACATAAATCAATTTACAAGAGTGGGAAAATGAGTGAGGATAAATTGAAAGTGGCTGATCACAACACATCAAGGCTAATGACCAATGAGAATCTATCTGGGTTGGAAAGGATGTTTTTAAGGCATTTTTGGGTGATCTCATGGTATAAAGAGATCAATTAATATCAGAATTACCTTGCAGAACTTGAACCTTGCATTATATCCCCTGCAGGTGTCCAAACCACAAATTCTTCCTTTGTCACACAGATTCAAGTCAACCTGCCATAGAAGTTGGTCCTCGCAGCATGCCTTGGCAAGAGTATTTTAAATACGTAACTGCACGTAACAGTTCCAGTGCAGACCATGAACACTGAATTCTTGGTCCATTGGGCAGACACTGGTGTAGCACAGTTCTGTCCTTAAGATCAGTTTCAGTTGTGGTGGGGGAAAACAAGGGCAAAGCAATGTATAGACAGTATTTCAGATGATGGCTTTGGTTACACTAACTTTCATAAAATCTCCAGACTACTGACGTTTGGTTTGCCTTTTGACAGACTCCTGTCATTGTTTTCCCTCGTGGTTGCTTCAGGTGTAAATGGGTTTCATTAGCCAGCTGCCACATCACTCCCGAGTGCTTTTCCTCTTGGTCCCCACCATGTAAGAGCTGGGCTGTCTCCCTGGCTGGGTGAGGACCCAGGAGACACAAGAGATACACAAGAGATACTGCGGGAAGTGTCACAGTTGAACACGTGACAATCTTCCCTCTGGTGCATAAAACCAGTATTTCTACTACAGTTCCCCCTAGAGGTTCCCCATAAGGGTGGAAAACATTTGCATAACCTTTGCAACCTCTGGAAATAAAGTCAGATAGAAAAATCTGTTGCCAGTCTCTGGCAATGAATTCTCAAGTTAGCAGCAGGCTCAGAGACAGCCTGAAGAATCAGCAATTATTTACTTTAAAAAAGAAGGCAGTTCCTTATAACACTGCCTCAGAAAATGTAGTCCCACCAAGAGCTTTATGGCTTCAGGGCAGCTGGAGCTGATTATTAATTTGTCTGCTATAAAGACTGTCTTTTCTAAGGACAATATTTGGGAACTGACACTCTTTACACTCTAACTTATATGTTAAATTAAGCAACAGCTACAACGAGGACAGGCTCTGACTGAAAATACAGACCTTCATAAAGAAAAATCGAATGGATACCTTGAGTCAAGTTTTGGCCCAGGACTTGTTAACACCAATATCCGTTTGTGTTGCAGGTATCTGGTGTGATCTTTGAAATACGAACCAGGGGCAATTTGCCCAAGGCCAGTAGATGTTAAAAAAACCCAATAAATAAGACATTAATGTGACTTCCAAAAGTTTGTGATGGTTGTGAATCAAATTTACTCGGACGTCAGAAAAATTAAGCTATTCTGGAAATCTCAGCAGGCACTTACCTGCCGTGTCAGGTACCCAGATAGTTTTGAAAATCTGGCCCCACTCCAGGACTCAGTTTCCTGTTTCTGAAGTGGTGAAATAGCTCTTCGTTACTTAACAGGGGTTTTGTGAAAAGAAACACATGTACTGAGACATACTAAGACATTCTGGTAATGAGAACCATGAAAATAATTAAAATAAACATTCTCCTTGCTTGGGAATACTGGAAATTGCCTTTTGGAATTTGCAGAGCAGAAAATCAGTAAGAGAAAGAGAACAAACATAAATGAAAACACGCCTTGCCCTAACTGAGTCTTTACTCACTGTGGGATTTAGGGAAGATCTAAATGTTTGCTCCAACATTTTTCCTTTTTTTTTGTTGTTTGTTGTTGTTATTTTGTTTTTAAAGCAACTTCCATATCCCTCTTGTGAATACCACCTCTCCTGGAGCTACCTGGCAGGTACAAGCAGAACTGAAGGGAAACATAGATCATGGCCTGCATCTTTGCACAGAGCTCATCTACATTGCTCTGCTTAATCCTGAGTGTTAATGAAAAGAAAGCCTGAGGGAAGGTCTTTGCACTGTAGCTGAAACCAAAGTGCAGTAATGTTTCCAGTCATCCCTGAGCTTGATACGCCTGAGAGGTGAAGCAAGACAGAGATGATATTAGGCTATTTTCATGTCCTTTTTGACTACCTTGCTCCAACATGGGCCCTGGTTTGAGAGAAGGGATTTGTGTCTGTACCATCATAAATCAGAGCAGCCCCAGAGCTGCTCTATTTCTGGCAGCAACAGTGGCCTTGATTCCCACTTAAAGCAACTTTATACCCTCTTTACATTGCTGATGCCATGCAAAAGGGAAATGGAGCAAAGCAAAATTGACTTCTAGGGTGAATGTACGTTTTTGTTTGTTTTCTTTTCTTTCAGGAATCTATGTACATTGAAGAGTCCTCAAATAAAAATGGTGTGATTTCTTTGATTTTCTCTCTGAAAGAAGAAGTTGGGGCACTGGCTAAAGTTCTGCGCACATTTGAGGTAAATATTTTCCTTCAGGAGACCTGACCAGGTCTTTACATTTTTGCACTGCAGCAACATTTGCTCAGGGTATTTGTGGTCATGTTTGTAATTCCATTTCATTGCCATGATGGGGGAAACCAGCATGCATTTCTTTTCTGGGGTTAAAATGACTTGAAGTCCTGGAGCACAAATGGCCTTTTTAAGTTAAAATTTGACTTCAAACTTTTAAATCAAAGCCTCTACTTTTAACTGATATGAGGGTGGAAAAAATGCATTTTCTCGATTTAAGCAGGAGGTATTCCACTGTAACTGCGTGAGTAAGAGGTAGAAGTGAATTGGGCTGTAACCTGAGATTGACGTCTGAGTATGTGTATGTGTATGTGTATGTGTATGTGTATTTATATTTATATTTATATTTATATTTATATTTATATTTATATTTATATTTATATTTATATTTATATTTATATTTATATTTATATTTATATTTATATTTATATTTATATTTATATTTATATTTATATTATTTATATGTATAGAAAGGCAAATATCACCTGAATGTGAGCTGTGTGACTCATAGTGCACATGTTGCATGAAGCATTTCTACTGGGGGCAGCTATTGTCCTCTTAGCCCTTGTTTACCTCAGTAAATCTGATATAAATAAGCCCACCATCTCCCACCGTTGGTACCTCTACAGAGAGGGTAGATGATAACTACAAAACAGCATAAAAATGGCAGTATTTTGCACTTTGTTCACTCCAAAGGAACTCAGCAGCTTGTACTGACTGATTTGGAAAACTTTTGGAGAAACAAGAAGCCATTTACCTTTCAGGACATTGTGTGCCTATTTATTCTTCCAGAAATATTTCCCAGATGTCATGGATGCTGTTTAAAAAGCACGAAATCCTTGCAATTCAGGATGGCTGTGTTGCAACACACACAGCTGTGTTCTCTGTGTTCCCAAGCCAATACACTCTGTTATATTGGTTTTGTGACTCTTTTTTTTAAAGAATATCAACATGTAATAGTTGTGCCTGAAAGCAGCTTCTTCTATAGAACACTGTAAAAAGTTGTGGCCTGCATACTTTCCATTTGTAAACTGAATTGACTAGGGGATGAAAGGTTTGTGTGGTATTAGTACAAATGAAAAATAATTATGAGTTATAGGACATATTTGATTCATTAAGATGAAGGGAAATTCATACTAACAACAGCAGAGCTAGTCTAAATCTGTGAATTGACCATTGCAATACAGTCCTGCAAAATGTCCATATGTTGGCAGCGTGCATGTCTGTAGGTGAACTAAGGAGGCCTGTTGATATTCTCTTGTTAAATGCATTGCTGTCTACCAACCAAATTGCTATCAGCCTTAAAGGAAAATCTGCAGGGGAGTTAGTATAGGAAGGAGGGAAATAGCCACTCCTTGCATATGATTCTTCTTGCCCCAAAGCAGGTACCTAAACCAGACCAGCTGAATCATGGTTTTCCCAAGTGACCCTGACAAAAACTGAAAGATGTCTGCACTGTGGTGGTTTCCCAACCCAATGAGGCCGCTGCTTTCTGTGCAAACTTGCAGTCTCTCCCAGCACCAAGGTTTGACAAGAGACCGGGCATAGGAACTCTTAAGCCAGTTTTGTGTGCTGTTGGCAATGTAGTAGGGCTGGAGGGAAGGAATTTAATGGTACAAGCCTGACCTGCAGCTTCCGCTCCTCAGGGCTGTCATTAACGAATTCATGAGTGCTGGGGTGCGTAAACTAGAGCAGCCCTTGGGCTGTTCTAACTGAACGTAAAGGACCTTGCTCTGTGTACAGCTGTGTAAGACTCATGGACATGCACAGCTGAGACAACCCCCACCCTTTCTCACCCAGGCCATAACCATGGTATCTCAGAGACACAGCCTTTGTTCTCAGTGACATCTGCAGCAGAGATGGGGAAGGTGGTGATATACAGGTGAAGGGTGGGGACAAGGAGGAAGACCTCGAGAGGGTTTTTTCCTCTTGTACCCCTTCCCTGCTTGATAAAATCAACTGTGAGGTGCAGGTTAGCTATAGGAGTTGGTCCAGACCCTCTGTTGGTGGGCTCCTCTGGGCAGGGAGACCCCTCGCCTTGTCACCAGGGTCTCTGTCTCCAGCTCGGTGCTGGCCTAGGGAAACACAGTGGGTTTGTCTCAGAGGGGTGGCACAGGGAGATGTGGGATCAGCTGCTTTGGCTGTCACTGCCTCACACAACCACATGAAGTAGGAAAAAGGAAAACAAAAAAGCCACAAAATATGATCAGACTCTTCCCCGGAGTGGACATGGCGCTGCAGCCGCTGGCCCCCACAGAGGGCCAGACCTTGCATGGCCACTTGTGCGTGCTGATGGCCATGTGTGGTGCGTTCGGAGCCCCTCTGATCCTTGCTGAGGCTGGGGTTTGCCCAGGCTTCTGGGATCTCTCTGGGCACTCGCACATAGGAACGCAGGCAGAGAGCACAGCTCAACCCTCTCCTCCTCCCAGCTCACACTTGGGAGTGATTAAGGGATGGTGCCTCCAGCACTGGCTTTGAGGATTTTGCCTTTTCTCTAGACAATCTATAAAACTACTCTGGGACACGAAGAGGGGAGGAGGAGGATTAAGAGAGCTGTAAATATGAAAGTCTTGAAAATAAATCCTCTCTCAAGACAGGGAAGAAAACGTGGAAGCAAGATCCAGACTGAGACACAGGGAATTGAGGGGATACCTAAAGAAAGGAGAGATCTCATGGTGCCATCAGCAGCCAGGCTGCCTTTCTGTAAAGGAGGTGTCTGTGTGGACCTGGGGAGGTTCATCCTCTCCTTGATTTAAGAGCTGGAGCAAAAATTTCTGTTACTCTGCAAGGGTTGTTCAGTCACTCTTGTGTCCCTGCCGGGGATGCAGGAGCAACTCCTCACTCCCAGGTTCACATCCTGCCCATGTCCTACTTCTGTGCTGGGGTAAAACTTGGCCAGGCATTAGCCCCCACCACAGCTTGATCTCCACGGGGAGCAAGAGCCCAAAAGGAGCTGCGCTGTGCTCCAGCCTGGCCCTGCACCTGGATAACAGGAGGTCCAGGACTGATGGCAAATCAAGCACCACGGCTGCCCCCCAGTCCAGACGTAATCTGTACTCGCTCAGGAGGTAAACCTCCCAGGGAAGGAAGTAGTGTCCAAACACAGCCCAGATGAACTCGGTAAACCCCCATTGTGGGCCAGGATGGACTGAAGGTAGGGGAGCCTCGTATCCAGGTAGGTGAAGGCACAAGGCCAGTGGCTACAGAGAGAGTGCTCACAGGAGAGAATTGCATCCTGTAACTGAGACACCAAGTTTAAGAGAGTTTCAATGTGTTTTGGGGAAAGATTAATGTTTGTCCTACTCAAACATCCCTCGGTGTTGCTCATGCAGTTGACAGTGCTGCATGCTCTCACATTTGTTTTTTTGCTCAAAGACCCAAACTCTTGTTTTCTGTTCAGATCCCAGTTGCATACAAGTATGTCGCTACAGTGACAACTGTTGTTTTTCCTATGTAGCTTGAAGGCTTTTTTTCTGAGGAATCTCCTCTATTAAGGAGCTGAGTACCAGCTCCTTAAGTCTGCTGTCTTTATGTCCAAAATGTACTTGATTATATCCACTTTCTTCTTATGTTTACTCTTGATTTGTATTCTCTCTAATGCATTTCAGTGCTAGGCCAATGCACAATGTCGAAAAAGAGCAAGCAGTCTGTATGGAAGTAGGGCTGGACCCTCAGAAGGGCAGGCACATATTTAAAGAAAGACTGGAAGCATTTCTGTCTTTAAAAGCAAACCTGGACCATGTCTACGGAAGGGTTCAACATCCGCTTTGGGTGGGAGGAGAATCCTTTCTCAGTCTCACACACAAAAATAAGCAGCACTCAGGAAGACCCCCCAAACACCAGACCTCAGCAGGCTTCTAAGCTCTTCTGACCCTTGGCTCTTGTCTCCCCTCTGTTTTGCAAATCCTTGCCTGGCTGCATGAGTCTGCTCCTCCTGGGCTGCTCTGTACCCAGGGTGCCCTATGCCACTGTTGACAGTAGAGTCCCTGCAGTCCCTTCTCCACCGTCCCTGTGGAGAAGCAATGTCTGCAGGGCCAGACTTACCCTCTGACATGTGCTGTAATGTAATAGCAGCTCAGTCATGCCCAGCAATAAGCAGATTGTTAAAACTGAATCCACTTTGCTTCCATACTAGCTGCTCTGTGTGTATATTGGGATGTGGTAAAGATTCGCTTTCTGCTTATCAAACCCAATTATTTTGCACTTGAAAAGCCTATTTGTCCATAATCTTTATCTGTCCTAGTGCGCATACAGCTTCCTTATGGGTTCTGCTTGGGCAACACCTCTGTCCTCATTGCAGTCTTGAGGGTGGCTGTAGAGACAGCATAAACCCACCAGCAGAGTCTTTACACCAACTTCATTTTATTAGGACCCGCTGTACACTAAGGCACTGCTTGGTGCAGCCATATGCTCTTTATTTGTCTCATGCTATTACAGAAGATGATAGCTAGGAAGCCAAAACTCAGATAACTACGTTAGTCTGAAACAGAACATCACACACAAGCAAAATATCATGCTTAAAATCAGGAAGACAGAATAGTTATTGTGGAGTTAAGTTTCTTTTTTGATTCACTGGACAAATCAAAAAGTTACAGCATATAAGTCCAGGTCAGAAAAAGACAGAAATCTTCCAGGTCTCTTATCAAAACTGAAAAAGCAAAGCGGAGCATTTTGGGTTAAATCAAATGTTACACTTGATGGGAATGTTTATTTTTCTCTGTAGTGATAAAAGCCTATTGAAATTGAGATCACTTTTTTAAACAACAAAGTCCATTCTGAAAGAAAAAAAGTGAAAAAAAAAAGTTGTCCCCCCTCAAAGATTGGCATTTCCAAAGTTAAATTAATCATTAAAAAATATCAGAACTAAACATTTCAATATGCAAAAAGGATTGCCCTCAGTTTTAATTGAAATATTTCCACATGAATTTGTGAATGCATTCATCTCCTCC